AATTGGTTAGGGGTATTAGAGAAAGCTGCATGAAATTATTGGCATTTGAGAAGTGCCTTGAAGACTGGGGTAAGATTTCATTTAGTAGGCCAAAATGGAAGTCCTATCCTGGTAGGATTAGCCAACCGGAGGGTTGGAGGAAAGCTGTTCATGTTGAAAGCACAGGTACCTCCGAGCCACAGTAGAGAATCCAGCAAAACTGGACACAGTGCTTTTGCAGAGGTGAGCTGGAGAAAGTTCTGGAAAGGAAGTTTGAAGTCAGATTGTGGAAGGTCTGCTGGGGAATCATAAAAATCACTGAAGACCTCCTAGTAAGGAAGGTTATGATCAGCGTTGACTGAATGCATGAAGAGTTTTATCTTATGTTTTTACAAGTGAGTACTCAGCTGGCACTGAAAGCAGAAAGAAAAATGGAACAAGATTCCCCCCGCCCCTTGAAAATGTACCTTAGTATTTGATTATTCACATGCATAAGTAAAGCCAGGGCTTCACGTTCTCCCACACACCTCTTCCATCTTCCTGGTGCAAGAATTCCATCGAGAAAGGCAAATCCAGGCATTTTGGGTGGCAATGGTAGAATAAGCCTTATTCTGACATTAGCATCAAGAGAGACATCATTTTCTGCATTTCTGCTGTGAAAAGAAAGCTATTTTCACCAGTGGTAAAAAGTACCTCTCGGTGCTTGAACTCAAACGTGATGAATGATGAAAAGAAACCCTTGCTTTGTTGCTGAGTAAAACCTCAGGCAGCGCTGGGAGGAATGTTGGTTATGGTCTCAATTTAATTTCAAAGAAGAATCTTCACAGATAGGAAACGTGAATGTGGATGCACACTTCTTAGCAAAGGAATAATGCTCTTTTGTAAAACATCTCATTATCCCCGCCATTTGTATAGCACTCTGTACTTTTCAAAGCCATTTTCTGTGGATTACTTTGTTCGTTTTCTTCTCTAGATGGAGCAGGAGTCAACCTCGTGGAACTAATTAGGAAACTGAGGCACTGAGACTTGTGACTTGTTCCCATGTTTTTGTTTAGAAGAGGCACAATTGAAACTGGAGTGGACATTTTCTTATTCTAGGTCTCCTGTCATTACATTTGCTTTCAAATATTTGTGTATGACATATATTTTTTACATATTTGTATAGAGGATGTGTAACTGTATATGCTCTTGCTTGATAGAAATCCATCGCAGTACTAAACAGAGGCACTAATCCATGTGCCTAGGCAAGCAGTAAACCCAGGTGAGTGCCATCCAACCTGGGTTCCTCAATGGGGCACAATGCCACCTGGCCCTTGTTTGGGCATGAACACTTTCCAGTCTGATTGTTTTTCTTACCACAGTCTCTCTGTCATTATTTTGTATTCAAGCAAACAGCTTTGACTTGCATTCAAGTTTTAGGACTGCAGGTGCCATCCAAGTGCCAAAGCATGATATTGCACTACATGTTTAAAAAACAATAACGAAAAAGTAAGTTTCAAGAGAGACTGAGATGGGTGAGCATCAGGTGGGTGTGTCTCGATATGCATTATGTGCAGGATCCAGTGAACAGATCCAATATGGAGCCTGGGAAAACACAGGGGTCAATCCGTCTCCATCCTGCACACTGCTTTGTGACTTCCCAGTCTTTCTGGGAAGACATGCCCCTTTTTGCTAAGTGGGGTGTATTCTACCACAGGGAGCCACTTGTCAAAGGAGATACTTCCCCTGTCAACAAGATTGTACTGGTGACTTAATTTTAAATAAGGCACCAAATCTTACATTGCAAATGGTCTCTTGCTAAGGTTGAGTAGAGTTCACCAGGAACACCAGGCACACACGAGTATTCTGGTGAATGAATATCTTGGGGTTTCCATTTGTTAAGGTATTTGGGGGACTTGCCCAAAATCAACAAAGTGATGGTTATTTTGAGATGTAGGTTTCTTTTCAGATTTTTGCCCTCCTTTTTCTTTCCAGTCAGTTTGCCTTGCGTCCAAGGATATATTCTTCCTGAGAAAGATGGTTTTGATAACATTCCTTGTTATATGTCATGGCTGTCATCCTTCTGACATGCAAGAGACAGCCTTAATTCTCAGTTTGTCACAATGAGCGAAAATGATGCCACATCCTAAACCTGCCTTAATTGGTAATTTGCAAATTTGATACAAGATCTTAGTCCAAATTACCCAGGCCTGCTGTTCCAACCCTCACCCTTTCTGCCCATTCTTAATCCTCTCCTCTATAATTGGTATTGAGTACGTGGCATCCCAGGGGACAAATAACAGCATCTGAGGAAATTACTTACATACAGTCTGACCTCTTGTGTGCTTTTTGGATGCCAAATTAAGACATCCATCTTTGAATGTTTGGACAGTTACCTGGAAGGACTGGCACCATTTTGTCCATAATAACATTTTTATAAATTGTCCAAATGCTGGCATACCTAGCTTGGAACTTTTTTTAATGATGTTCAGAATATTTTGGCCAATGAATATGAGCATGGCCACAGTTCTTTCCAAAACAGAACCTCATTTCATGGGGAAATGTAGTATCCATTTGTATGCAGCAAATAAAATCAGAAATTGCTCATGTTATTTGGAGGTGAGATCCTCACACTCTCCCTCCCAAAAAAGAAATACTATGTTTTCTTACAGCCGAACCCCTAAAATCATGATTGGCAAGGAGATCCCAACTTCTGTCAGGGAAAATTTTCAAAATTGAAATATGCTAAAATTTGACAGTGGTATTTGGTTTTAGATCATCCAAAGCCCGGAAATATGTTGCTTGGGCTCAATTAACTCTAGCCACAAGTAACCAATCAAAACAATGACTCTCGACAACAGGTACAAATCATCTTTCTTGGGTCAGGTTTTACTTGCTGCTAAGAAACTGGTTTATTTTTAGGTTGTGACTAAAGTGTGCTTATTGCTAGAAAACAACTGATTTTGTCTGTTGGGAACAAAATATGAACTTTGTTCAATTCATCTCTCTAGGTCAGCCTTGAGTAGGTAGGTTCTAGTTGTCTACAGAAGTTTAAATTCTTGAACCAAAAACTATTTAGAGATCAGAGTCATCTTTTTTTTTTTTTTTTTTTTTTAAGTTGCTATTCCTTTTTTTGTGGGGAGGAAGTATTGGGATTGAACTCACTGCCACTGAGCCACATCCCCAGCCCTATTTTGTATTTTATATAGTGACAGGGTCTCACTGAGTTCCTTAGTGCCTTGCTGTTACTGAGGCTGGCTTTGAATTTGAGATCCTCCTGCCTCAGCCTCCCAAGCTGCTGGGATAACAGGTGTGCGCCAAGTGCATCACTTAAATTTCTATTCTTTTTAATTGTTAAACAAACCCTCCCCCCCCCCCAAAAAAAAAAAAGACTTTCACATACTGAGGGGCCTCTTTAGGGGGGAATCATTGGGGGATTTCTAGAGGAGGAACCTGGTACTCACAGATCTTACTAACATTGTGTGGAGGGAAATTCAGGAAGCAACATTGTTGACCAACCTTAAGTGCTTAAATCTCCACTGCACATGTAGGAATTCAGCAGAATTATGAAGAGCAAAGTGCCCTTGATGCTAAATAGAGACTGCAGAGGTGGGTCAGCCTCTGGGTAGCTGGGTCATGATTCCTGCAATGAGTCTGAACCACCCAGGTAACCAGGCTTTAAGTCAAAGACACAACACAGTCGGAGAAGATCATCAGAGTCATTTGGTTTGTGAGGACCCAGGCAACAGCCACGAAACTGCTTGGCCCAGAATTAATAAGCTACATTTTGCAAGCCTGTGTTCTTACAGCAACTAAGAGTTTTATGTTTGATACAGATGGTGTTTATGTAGAGTATGCGAGCTCAGCGTGAGAAGTAGTCATAAAACAGACTGGGGTTTGGTATAATTATTCACAATTACTATTGTATCATTGAATATCATAACTATTACATAAAAAATATTTTAAGAAGTAGACTCTGTTCATACTTCCAACAGTAGTTCTTAATAATAAGAGACATATGATGTAAACATCGTAACATATTTTTTGATGTTTACAAACTTATCCAAGGTTTGGCAAAGGTGCAGATGTAAAAAGTCTGGGTTCTCTTTCTCGTATTCTCAGGAAAACCAGTTGCCTCTATGTTCAGTAGCAAACTCCCTTTTTTAAGTCACCTGTAAGACTTCAGGAGCCATCCTCATTAGGCCACCCCAAAGAATGGATGGAGGTGGATAACAGTATTTTAGCATTTACAAAAGAGGAAAACGAGTCTGTTCTAGGGAGAGTACCTGTGTTCTAGCTTTCTCCAACCCAGTGAAGCTCCTTCAGGCCAAATTGTGACAATTGGCTCATTAGCATAATGCTTATTTTTAATATTTCTGGGCAGAATTGTGAATCTATAATATCTGATCATTAAATAAATAATCTCCTATGTCTTCTAATGGGAGAAAAATCTACGCTTATGTCTCTATCACCCCCAAGCTACAAAACACCCCAAAAAGAAAATTCATTACAGTTTTAAGTGAAACTTCATTTCCTTTTAATTGTGTTTATAAAACAGGCCTGTGTTCATGGGCATGGAAGCTCTTCCTGCTGATAACAGGAAGGCATTGGAAGTGGATTTCAGAACATGTGACTTTAGTGCTGGTCCTGCTCTCTCACACACGTGTTATGAGCATGGAAATCAATGAAGCTCCTTAGCATCTGTTGCTGAACTTTCATCTGTGACTCTTGAGGGTAACTGCTAGACTTTGATGACTGGAGTCTTTATCACCGTATTGCTAAGGGGTTTCCATGTGCACCGTGTTAGCATTGAGAAATGAAAAGAGCATCTATTATCTGGATATCTCACTCACTTCCATGATTTCTAAGCAGAGGAGCAGGTGCCAATCCAGAGGTCATTGCTCGTGCAAATCCATCTCCTGTTGCTGTAATGACCGTGCCCTTGGATATGTATCTGCCAGGTAAACAGGCAGACATCTTGTGCCTTAGCAGCTTGGGAAATGAGAGTATGCTCCCCTGTAATGTCGGTGACCAGTACTTACTGTTCCAAGCCTGGACGGAGACAGCCTGTTGTAGATATGGTTTCCAAAGAGAATGTCTCTAATGTCCTCCCTGGCCCTGGAGGAAGAAGGAAGGAAAGTGTGGCTTTAGTACTTTTATGCCCAAGTGTGTGTTTCTAGCCTTTCAGAGATTTTCAACTGTCCTGCTGTTTTTTCCACTTGGAAGGTGGCCAACCGCACTCCTAACTCAATGAACTCCAAGATCAGGTTCCCCGAGAAAGAGAATGTGAATGTTTGTGAGAAAGGACACATGAGGTTTTACCTACCCGGCCCTGGAATTGCTCATTCCAGTTTCTTATTTTTTTTTCCCAAGGTAGAACACAAAGGTATACATATGTATTCATATGCTGCTAACTTTGGCCTATATATTGCAACTGTTTCTTTATGACTCTACAGTCCCTCTTGTTAGCAGACTGGCTTAATTTTATCACAGGAGCACCCCAGAGGGACTGTTCATGAAAGTCGTTTCTGATGTTGACCTCAGTATTTAGGATTTGATTTCAAACACCCTTGTTTCCATTAATAGCTCACTGTGAATACACTACCTATTAATTATTCTCACCTTTTCATGTTTACAAATGCTATGGGTTTTTCTCTAAGCTTTATGAAATATAGTATCTATTTATTTGACTTCTTATCCTTTTGGCTCCCAGGGAGGCATAACATTACCTAATTGAGACACTCATTCAGGCATTCATTCAGCAAATGTTTACATGGTGTTGGGTTCTGATAGGGAATGCAGTTTCGCTAATTCAGTAAGGATTTGGGTACCCATAAGATAATATTAAAAAAAAAAACCAGGGAGGAGGGATAGGGTGTATACAGAAGGAACTACAAGTTTAAATAGGGCACTCAAGGAAGGGCTCACTGAAAGAGTGGCAGTGGGGGAGGGGAGAAACCTTTAAAAAATAGCATCTCCTTGGGCCTGTCTAGGAGAAGATCAATCCAGGCAGAGAGAACGTGAGTGCAAAGACTCACTCAGAGAAAGGCAGGGCAGGGAAGCCTGTGGATGGAGGGAGATGAAGGCAGGAAAGAGCCATAGACAAGATTCAAGTGGGAGGCAGGGAGGCAGGGCATGGAGGCTGGGGTTCTGCATCCTCACAGGGGATCTTAATAGCTGTTCATTTTTATTTTTTCCCCTTAGATTTAATAACAGCATTGTGGTTATGTTGGGAGGAAAGAAGGAGTCTTTAATTCTTTGAGCTGCATTTTGAAATATTTACAGATAGAATGAGATGATGTCTGGGATGGGCTCCATCATAGACAAGGTGTAGGAAGGAGGTGGATTTGGTGGGGGCAGGATTGGCCATGGGTAGAGAGGTGCAGGGGCTGGGTTAGGGGTATACAGAAGTCAGCTACTTTTGTGTATGCTCAATATTCTCCATAATAATAATAATGTAAAAGAAGAATCACCTAGGGAACCTTTAAAAAAAGCATCTCCAGAAATTGACATAGACATAATTGGATTCGGATGCAGCATCAATGCGTTTGTTTTAAGCCTTCCCCAGGTTTGGATAATTTCCTATTAGTATAAAAACCACTGGAACAGACCCTAACAGGCCCTGGGTAGCACTGGGATTTTACTCTGATTGAGAAGTGCAGTCTTTGGCAATTGGCGGGTAGTCGAATGACATGATCTTACTTATATCTGAAATGGATCATTCTGGCTGCTGGGTTGATAAGAAACTATAGGGGATGAGAACAGAGAGGCAGAGAGATCCAGTCAATTACGACAAAAGTAATTGCAAAAGAGTTTGGTGCAAACTGCAATATAGAGAATGTCAGGCACATACAAAGGTAGACAGAAAAACACACTGTCATTCCACTTCACTGTTTCTGAGCAAAGATGGACCCTTCTTCCAAAATATGCTAGGATGATGTACTGTGAAAGGGTAATTGCATTTCAGATCTTGGAGAGAATATAGCATGTGAGAAAGTGAAATGACCCAAAGGAACTCCCTCAGCATGGGGAGGTCACTTGTTCTGTAAACGCTTTGACTTTTGTTACCTAAAGCAATTAACACTGCAGTTACTTATTCTAACTTTGCCCCAATTTTTGCTTTTTAATTGCACAGAAGGTTAGAGAAAAAAAAAAAAGAAAGGTTTTCAGTCCAGCATACAGGAACTTAGAATTTCCTCTTTCAATTCCTTGTGAATGAACAGAAGGCTTCAGAAATCCAGCCAAACCACTCAAACCAGTCTGCAAGGATAGTTCTGGTGTTTCCTGAATATGATGGACTCTTACAAATTTGGTAGCACAGTCTTCCTCATCCTCCTGGGCTGTGCCTTCCAGATGTTACTCTCAGACACCTTCTTTGGTAAAGCTTTTTTAATCCATGTCTGTACATTGAGTGTGCCTGCTGTAAGGTCCTGGGTTGGACTTAATGGGGAATAGGTTGCTTAAAATGCAGACTTTGCCTTTAGAAAACTTGTATTCTGACCTCCCCCATACCTTCTTGAACCAACCATTGTACTTCATTGGATTCACAAATAAGCACTTGGTGATGATTCAATGTGTTGGTCACTGCTGATTTTAAGACACAGGGATTACAGGTTTCCATTTTCATTCACAAATCTTTGTATTCCCCTCACCACCAACATGGGTCTTCATGCTTAAAGACGTTGGTTAACTGATTTCTCTATTATTTTTATGTGAAATCAATAATATTACATGTAGTTCAAGAATAGTGCATTTCCTAAGAGTTATTACAGCTCTCTACAGCTGATATGATCTAGCCTCTGAAGTGTCTAGGTAATTCTTCAAATTCAACTTTCCGAAAAGCAAACGAGAGGAGAAATCTGCTTTGGTTAGAATGACCAATCGCACCTAAGAGGACCTTAACATTGACCAGGACTCTTCTGCTATCTGGGGCTTCTACCCTTTAGCCCAGACCATTCTGGATAGTGGGGGAGAAATGCCAAACTTGACATCAACTCAGCTTAACTAACCTCTCCCCCAACATTGATCTTTTCTTTTTGCATCGTTTCAGCATACAGGTGAATGTTAAACATCATTCCATGTACAAAACCCCTTTTATTGCTATAAGCAGAAGTGATTCTGTACCTTGTGTGTGTACGAACATTGTCCCTTAGCCACATGGAAGGACTAGGTTTCTAATTCTTCAGGAGCCCACAGCAGGTACTTAATAGATAGTCTTAAAAGAAACAGAATTAACAAAATGCATTATTTTGTTCATTCCTGTTTTAATCAGGACCCAAATCAAATTGGCTTAGGGAAAATAAGGGAATTTATTTGCTTGTATAACTGAAAAGTCCAGGGACAGGACTAGCTTCAAGCATAGCTGGTGCCAGCAACGCAAACAAGTCTTTTTCTCTCCCTGTCTTTGCTCTCACTTCTGCTATATTATCTTCATTCTCGGATTCTGTTCAATGACCCTCAAAAGTCCTGCTTCCAAGGTCTTTACTGCTAGCATTCCCAGCAAAAAAGAGAATGGTCGCTCCTTTCTCCATCCTAGTAAAATCCCACTGTGTTAAGTTGATTCTGATTGGGTCTTGAGCCCAAGCATAGACCAATCACTATGGGCTCGTTTAATGTATTCATCCGATTGGTTAGGCTCATCTGATTGGTTATTGCTCATCCCTAGAGCTGAGGATGGATTCAAGACCACTAGGAGTATGTGGATTAAGAACAGGGACGTGTGGTTCTCCATGGAAAACCAGATTCCTACTTCCAATAGAAGAGTGAGTGGATGCTGGGAATTAATGGCGCATGTGAAATACTCTCTTCAAAGAATTCATTTCAGAGAGTTGGCTGATACAAAATATCTTAACAGGAGCCTGGGAAAGGAGGAAACTTGTTTTGTGTGAACAGAAATCATTAATTTTATGGCTTTGGGAATGTGTTTCCTCTTATTTCTAGCCTGCCTCTTATATGAAGACATTGCTGAGAATCAATTTCAATAGTTTATCCTTCAAAGTGAGGCCATATGACTTGCCTGTTATGCAGATTCCCCATCCTTGGTTTTTTTTTTTTTTTTTTTCATAAAATCAGGAGAGGAATTCCTCTCTGCAAAACCCCACCAAACACCCATACTGTGCTTGCTTCCTCCCATTAGCTTCCCAGTGTGGCTGTTGAATAAATGATTCAACATGGGACAGCACTTAATCTTCCTAACAATAGGCCTCCAAACATCCAACACTGTCAGATGCTTTCCTGGCATTTGAAAATATGCCTTGCAGCAAAACCATCTATTGAATTTTTACTGTGACTAAGACCTTGTGGACAAAGAAGACTATCTGTTAAGCTGCCATCATTTGGCACAATCTGTTGCTCTGGGGCCTCCTGGGGGAAGAGCAGAAGATATGGAAGGTAACCCCCCTAAGTCAGCCAAGAGTGGGGTGCTGGAGCTTTCCCAGGCTCATACGCTGTCTTGATGCTTTTCACAGAGCACAGGAGGGATGCTCTACGATTTAGGGACATTTCAGGGTATAAGCCTCAGGGTTGGGAAGATGGGGTGGCTCTTTACCGCCTGAGTGTTATCCCAAATATAGCATTTGTCATCACAAGGCTCTGTGTCTTGGCTTGTTTCCACATAGTCCATGCTAACTCCTCATCCAGGTTTGATTTGCCACTGGAACAGACACTCCCCCCCAATTTTCCTGAAAAGCCATGTTTTATAATTTTAAAAAATAGTTATTAGAATTCTTTGGAATGTTAAATGAGATTTAAGGACCAGATAATGGAATCTACATTGATTTGGCTTATTTTATTGGTAATAGACACTACTTAGTGGGTTCCCCGCTCTGTGTGATTTCTCCTTCCCTGGTACTGGTCCCTGATACATTGGACAGCGGCCTCCAATACAACCCTTCTGGCTACAGATGATGGACTGCGGACAGACACCTGTCTGTGGGTGAGCCAATCAGATTATCCCTTTCTGGGATTTGCCAACTGGAGCAAAGCCTGATGGCCAATGGAGTGGAGTTAATGTCATTACTGTCTGCAGGGCTTCTTGATCTTTTCTGTTAAGTACACATTTCAGGCTTCTCCTCCCAAAATTTTGATTCAGCAGATCTGGATTGGACCCAGGAATCAGT